AGGGTCCTGGTCTGAGCCAGCCTCCAAATCAGGAAGCGAATTGCGCCTGCTGGCCTTGCTCATCTGCATCTGACCTCGTCCTCCGTCCCCCCCTTGGCAGCCCCCGTTTTATGAAATGCAGGGGGAAGGTCAAGTTTCTCGACTGCCCGGGTTGTCCTTAAGGCATCCTGGTGGCACTGTCGGCTAGCAACTGGGTGCTAACCACAGGTCAGCGGTTCAAACCCACCAGCTGCTCCTGGGGGGGGTGGGGGGTTGGAGAGGAAGCTGCCTGCTTCCATAAAGATTTATACTCTTGGAAATCCCTACAGAGCAGTTCCGCTCTGTCCTACGCCCGGTCGATATGAGTCGGAACTGACTCGATTGGGCAGTGGGTATGTTTTATGTATGTTTTAATCCACTTCTTCATGTGGGCATGTCCCCCTAATGTAATGCCTGGAGTCCATCGCCCACTTTGATGGTCCCCAGAAAACTTGGATTTTCCTGGGACTTCTCTACCCAGCCTGCTAATGGAGTCTCACAGTGGCAGGTCTGTGTTGCGTGGTCAGGGGCCCAGTCCTCTCCTGCTGGCACAGCCAACCCACCGGCTGCCCCACCCGGCAGCAGCGCTTCTTGGCTCCCAACCCGTCCAAGTTACCTAGGAAACTGTTGGGTGGCAAGCACCCACCAGGCTGTCTGGCCAGGGCCCTGAGCAGGGCAGGGTGGGTGACCCTTTGGGACCCTCTGAGTCAGAGGGATTTTTTAGCTAGACAGAAGAAGCACCCAGGAATCTTCGTCTCCCATTTGCACACGTGCCCATGAGATAGATACTAGTGTCCCTGTGGGCCGTTCGCCCTAAGTTCAGCAGTTCGGACCCACCAGCTTCCCACTGGAGACAGACGAGGCCCTGTGCTCCCATCAGGATTTATCGTCTTAGAAACTTGAACTGGTGTCACTTCGAGTCGGAACCAACCCCTTGGCAGTGAGCTCGTCGTGGGGGGTTTAATGGACAAGAGGGTGCTTCCAAAGAATGTGTGGGCAAATGGAATTCAAAGGCACTGGAATTTTCCACGAGCTTTTTGAAGCCCCTCCCATCTCATCCCTACCCACCTCCCACACACAGTAAAACCTGTCCCAGCCAGAATCTGTGTCGGGCAGGAACCAGCCAGAGAAGGGAAACCCGCATTTCATCTTCCACTGAAAGGAGCAGGAGGAAGAAGGTGGCCCTGCCCCCGTCAAGGTGGGAAACCTGCGAGACTGGGAAAGCCAGGCCCCTGGGGTTCCAGCTCTCGCAGCAGCATCACGTTCAAGAGACGTGGTGGTGTAAGGGGGTCGGCAGTTGGAGACCCTCAGCCGCTCTGCGGGAGCTCCCGTAAGATCCAGCCTCGGAAGCCCCAGTATAGGGTCCCTGAGAGTCAGAGTGGGCCGAAGGGCTGTGGGCTGGGCTGGGCTTGGGGTTTGGACGTGGCGATGAAATGGTTAAGGGCTTGGTCAAGTCAAACCCAATCAGTTGACCACTCAGGAGGCAAGCCTGCTAATCTGCTCCCATAAACTCCCTACAGGGCAGCTCTGCTCTATTGCATTGGGGGTGGGGTGGGTGGGTGTCAAAAGCTACACCACAGCCCAGCAGCACCAACCCCAGAAACGGATTAGTCAGGGAGGGGCACACGATTTCAATGTAACACTTCCTCATTAAAAGGATCATTTGAATTGCAGCTCATTTTCAGGCCCAGGCCCAACTTTTAGGGGTTCTCTCCAGGACTCAGGGGTCCTGGTAAAAGTGCTAGGCGTGGTGACAGCGCTCCGTTGCTAACCAACGGACAGATCGTAGTTGGGACCCACCAGCCACGAGAAAGGGGTGGCCATCTGCTCCCCCCAAATGCCACAGACTTGGGAACCCAACCGGGCCATTCTCCTGTATCCTGCAGGGCCCCAATGGATTTGGGGTAGGAACCCTGAACTCCACAGGAGCACAAACCAGCCCAGCCCCCCCAGGCTGCTGGGATCACAGTCAGGGTTAACAGGCGGAAAGATCAGAAGCCCACCCATTTGATTCTTTCCTCCGCCCTCGGAATTTCCTGCCCTGGAAACAAAGATAGAAGTATCTTCACAGGTCAGCTTTCATGGTCTAGGCAACCTTTCACATGTCCTGGGGAAATGCCCAATTACCCCCCCCTTTTTGGGGGGTTTTCTTTAGTTCTGTTTTATTTTGTTTTTAAATCATTGTTATTGGGGGTGCTGGGAGGGAGCGTGCCACTCCCTGACTGGCCATCAACTCCAGGCAGCCCGGCAGGCTACAGTTGGAAGGTTATCAGAACCACATTTGCTTTTCTAGCCTTAATTTTGATTTCCCCCCAACGTTTGGTTTCTTTGTGTTAATTTTCGGTTTGATTTGTTGTCCCAAGGCAGCACTCCAGAAGCGTACTTTCATGGTTTCCCCTCCCCTTTGTCAGTTAGTAAGTAGCTGATCAATCTATTCACCCTCTGGAGGGTCTCCAGACTCACGGAATGTGTGTGTGTGGGGTGGGGGGGGTTGGAAATGTGGAGGTGGCGTGGACCGGGAAGCTGCTGCCTGCCCCCGCACCCCTCACCCCCCTCCGCGAGCCCCCCCGCTCTCCTGAGATGCTCATGCCTTCGGCCGTGGCTCAGGTTCAAATGCTGAGGAGGGAGCTTTGGTCTCGGACAGACCATGGTTCAGGAAGAATGTCCCACGCGAGGGCAAGGGTTGGTGAGTGCCTCCCTGGTGCTGGGGGGACGCCTGACTCCCAGCCTCCCCACACAGGCTGCCTGTAAGCTGTAGGCAGAGAGATCCCATTGGGTCTTGAAATTCTTTTCATACCATTGTTCATACCTAAAAGCAGTGGGTCTAGAGACGTATTTTCCAGAAACAGCCAATCAGACATCATAGAACTCAAACCTTGGTCCTGCGGCATGGAGAGAGACGAGACAGTTCCCTGGACATGGGCCAGCACTATGGGCGGCCTGACTGATGGTCAGTGAATGATCTCATTCGGTCTTTAGTGAATGGTCACCTTCTCCAAGGATGTCTCTCAGACCACCGACTCCCTCTGGTCAGGTAGTTTAAGGAAAGATGCTTCAAGTAAGCGTATTAAAGGCTCTGAGAAGGCCTGTAATTAAAAAGAAAATTCTTTTTAAAAAAGCAAGACTCTTTTAACTTTGCTTAGCCAGTCAGAGTCCCCAAAGTCAGCCCCTCCTGGACACATCGTCCCTCCGCGTGGAATCGTGTCGTGTCTTGGGCAATGACGCTGCTGCAGCCTGTGGGCATCCGGTGTATCTGAAGGATCCACACCTTCACTGCTGGCCCATCCAGGGACTGACACCCACCTGGAAGTCCAGCTCAGTCCAGCGGCGGCTTCCTTTCTGACATTAAAAAGCCCAGAGTCAGAGAAGACGTCCATCTGTGTACTTGCATCCCATCGGGGTTGTTCAAATAAAAGGAATCATCACCCGGCCCCTCGCAGCACCAAGCTCCTCAGACTGCTGCAGAGTCCCTGATCAGGAAGCCAGGTCACTGTAAAATCTCCAAGTGTGGTCAGCCAGGTATGGGTCCCGATTGCAAAACCCAAGTCCAAATCCCTGAGGTGCAGCCTGGCAGCTGTGCTCCCCTGACCAGGGGACTGCTGGCCCTGGAGTGACTGGTAGTGGGGCAGGCTGTGAACGCAGCCTCCAAGGCTCTCCCATGCTGCCCATCAGCCTTGGGCCCGAGGGTCCCCAGACACCCCCATTCTCTAGTGTGCGCACAGGTGTCACTTTGCAGACACGTGCGTGCACACATGCTTAGCTCTCCTCTCTGAGGGTTAAAATCAGGAATGCCACTGACTCCTGGCCCAGTTTTTTATATCTCAAATTAGGATGACACAGCTGCTCTCTTCAAGGATGAGTATCCATCCAAAGACAGGAGCCCTGGTGGCTTTATGCAGAAGCCAGGATTAATGGTCCTGGAGGCTTGGGAAGGATTCCTGGCGGTGTCGTGGTTAGGTGTTGGGCTGCTAACCACAAGGCCAGCACTTAGAAACCACCAGCTGCCCCATGGGAGAAAGACAAGGCTTTCTACTTCTATAAAGAGTTGTAGTCTTGGAGGCCTGCAGGGGCAGTTCTACCCTGTCCTATAGGGTCAGTATGAGTCAGCATCAACTCAAGTGAGTGAGTGCTTAGCGAAAGAGAAGAGGCCAGCTAAGAGAAGACCGCTCCAGCCCTCCAAATCGAAGTCAAGTGGGAAGACCAGTTCTGAGCAGCAGCCGTGTGAGCCCCTTCCAGCATGGCTCAGCACCTTACCGTCGACTCTCTCAAATGCCCACAGAGTGACCAGTCAGGCCAGTGGCGTTTTGATCTCGCTCACAAGAATGAAGAGTCTGGAAGACCACAGAAGAAAAAACGCCACGGGCCGCCGAAAGAGTCACCAAGCCCGTCTTGCAAGAAGTACAGCCAGAATGCTCCTTAGACGCAGGGATGGCAAGGCTTTGGACATGTCTGGAGAGACCCCTCTCTGGAGAAGGGCAGCGTGCTTGGTAAAGTGGAGGGCCGGTGGGAAAGAGGAGGCCCTCACCCAGATGGACTGACCCCGTGACTGCAACCACGGGCTCAGACGTAAGAACAGTGGTGAGGCTGGAGCAGGGCCGAGTGGTGGTGTGTTCTGGCCGGCAGGCGCCCGCTCTGAGTCAGAATCCACTGCACAGCACCCAGCAAGAGAAAAGTCTATGTACCCAACAAGGGCAAACATCACTCTTGCTTCTGCGGAGCGGGGATTTAAAAAACCCTGGCCTCGTGCTGCCAGGATGGCCTTCCCTGGCCATTTTAACTCACCTTTAGCTTGACCAGTGGTGTCTTTCTATCAGCAAGGCTGACGGGCGCTCGGAGAACCCCACAGAGGGGTAACCAGGGGTCTCAGGTAGACCTTGGGGGCTGTGCTTCCAGGAATGAGGATACCCCCAAGCTTGGGAGGACAGACTCCAAGGCACGTGGCACAGCCACCCTTCCAGGAAGCAGTGGCAGGACGCTTTAGCCCAAAGAAACCTCCCGGTACATCTGCAGGGAGGTGATAGCAGCACTCCACTGGGGGAGGTGGGCTGTCTGCCCAGTGCAGTCCTCCAGCAAGTACTATCTCCAGCCCAGAGCCACGGCCAGAGGCTGCCCACCGACAGCTGGCACCTCCCCGCATGCTGGAGAGCAGCCCCACGCCCTGCCCCCACCCCCATGCTGTCTGCTTTCCCTGTCACCACCTGGCCTGCCCTCTCCGCCCCCCAGCAGCATGTGCCTCCCCCGCACACCCCCTGGTGACAGCATAACCCAGCCTCTCCGGGCCCCACTCGGCCTCCTCCCAGACATTTTCCCTGGAAAGCACTTGCCCCTCTCAGGAGGAGACAACGTGTCCTGTCAGGTTTGAATCGTGCCCGACAGTCTGTGGAAGTCCTTCGGAAATGGTGTTGGCTGTGGATTTGGTTGTCCCTACTGACCTGGCTGCCCTAAGGCGTCTTCCCCCAGTGAGACGGGGACCAGGGGGACTTGTCAGCAGAACCCGCACCAGGAATGAGCAGTGGGACTTGTGGGGGGAACCAGCTGTTACCAGGACCGCTGCCACAGCCTGTCCCCCGCCCCCCTGGGGTCTGGGCCTCAGAGGTGTTGTGTGACAGTGTGTGGGGTCCGAGCCCACCACCCTCCTCAAAAGCACAGGCAGAAACCGTCCCCCAGCTACCAAACGCTTAGGGTAGGCTTGTCTAGTGCCTTTAATACACTTTTTTTTTTTTTAAGTCCAGAGAAAACACACCTCATCTGAGGGTGGGGCTGGGGGTGGGTGGGGACTTGTATGGCCTCCTCCCTCTTCAAGGAACAAGAGACAATTGTCACCAGCTCCTTCCTCAGGCCCGGGGACACGCTGTTCTTAGCGCACAGGTGGCCAGTGTGAAGGGGAAGGTCACTTGGCTGCCAGCAGTCTGCAGTGTTGGACCAGGGCCCTCCCGGGAGGAACGGGAGCCGCTTTCCCGTGAAGAATGAGAGATTCTCAGCGCAGCTCGCCAGCCACCTGTTTAGTCCTTCAAGTTGCTGTTCGGTGCACAGGGTCTTTAAGAAAGGCTTGGTCTCTTATTTTCCTGTTGTTCTTTGTTCTGAGAGGGAGGGAAGTGTGTGTGTGTGTGTGTGGCTTTTAAAGACGCACAGGGGAATGTGCTCCATGGACTGCTCATAGAACATCCTTTCAGGACCGAGGGCAGACCAAGCCCGGGCACGTGTTAACCATGGTGACCGCGGCTGGGTTTCTTTCCAGGAATAAGCGGCCAGGGCTTATTCCAAAAAATTGTGAATGACCGAGATGGGACTTGGGTGGGACCGTGTGCTCTGCCGTTCTCCCGAGGGAAGCCCCTGGGGACCGGTGGCTGCCCCAGAGCAGCCTGGCGTCCTGAGCAAACACCGAGGTGTCCTCCTGCCTTCTAGTATCTTACTGCAGAGCGGGGCGTGGTTGGCCTTGGTCCCTGAACACGGGGTGCTCAACCAGGGCTGCGTCTGAGAGCTAGGCTGTCCCCTGAGTGCTGTGACCACACGAGGGGCAGACAGAGGTGGGAGGTCCCTCAGGATGGTGCACACCAAGTCGCTGCCACCAGAAAAGTCATAAAGGGCCAGCTGGAACACCGTCAGTCTGTGCCTGTGGTCAGAGACCCTGCGTGTGAGAGCCACGTCACCACGCACAAGGGAGCAATGGGTTGCGCCTTTCACTTCGCGAGACCGTGGACTCTGGGAGCCCTTTGACCTCTGGATGGTGTGTTGGGCCCCAGTGGTGTGGCAGCTGTAGCACTCCGCTGCCAGCCGGAAGACCCGTTGTGCAAGCCCACCAGCTACTCCAAGGGAGAAAGATGGGTGGACCGCTCCCACGTGTGGAAGTAGTTCTGTTAATGGGGCAGCTCTGCCCCATCCCGTGTGAGTCGGAATGGACTCGACCACAGTGGCCATGCTGTGGCCCCGTGCGAGGGCTGTGTGACCTTGGTCTGGGAGCCCTGTGAGTCAGAAAGACGGTTTCTTTGAAAGACATTGCCTGCCAAGGTGGTCTGAGCGCCCCGTGTGCCACAGTGCTCTGTCGATAGGAGTTGTGGTGAGGCCAGGGAGCAGAAGACCCCAGGGTGGGCTCGGCACTTGGGCTCAGCAGTGGCCAGAGGTCAGTGGTCTAGGCTCCTTGGGTCCTCTCTGTGGCCTTCTCTGCCCCTCCCAGCATCATCCACACACCGCGGCCCGTGAGGTCTGAGAACAGCAGGGACCCGAACCGTTCTTGTCCAAGCTAGCATGCCACTGCAGGGTTGGACAGAGGTGGCCTGACGGAAACACAGCTCTCCTCGGCCTCTCAGTTTCTCACACTCCCTGGACCAGGCCCAGCGGTCAGACCCAGACCCTGGGCCAGCCTGAGGGTGTGCCCACCCCTGCCCACGCCAGCTCTTGGTGCAGTTGGCTTGCAGCTTGATCTTTTCAGAGGCATCAAGGAGGCCGCGAGAAAGAGGGGCCCCGTGTCCCTGGGGAGCAGCACCTGCCACATAGCCCCCGGGGACCAAGATAAGTGAGATGAATAAGAGATGCAGGCGGCCATGGAGCCTGATGCCTGGGCGTTCTTGTGTTTCACGTCGGAAACACACCCTGCATCCTTTCATCTGACCCCTGCTCCCGAGCCTTGGTCTGCCCATTCCTGCCTCCGCCTCCTAGCCCTCCCCACCTGCTGCAGGGACACGTTTGTTTCGGTGAGCGAATATAGGTGGGTTGCCTTAGAAAGATGTTGGTCCAAACTAGCACACCTAAGCACGTAACCTGCCCCAGTCAAAACCCAGTACCTGCTGGAGCACTTGCCACCCATCGGTCCTATGGGACAGTGGGGCAGAGGTTATTTGTTTTTCAGTCTGTGTGCTTTTTACGTCAACTATATCCACTCTGATTCCCAACGCTGTTGACCCATGTCCCCCACCCCTCAACATCCTCCCTTCCTCAAAAAATGGGGCAAGAATTCCATTAGCTGTGCTATTGCCGGGAAGAGCTTGTGACCGAATGGTTTGGCTATTCTTAATTATCAATCCCTGAATGTTATACGTCCTCCCTCGTTCAGATTCCAAGGGCCTCTGCCCTTGTGAAATGTGTGTAAAAAGGAATTAAGAAGGGAAACTTTTTAATTTTTTTAACAAGCTCAGTTATCCTCATCCACCCTTGTTGCATCGGAAAGGAGGGAGTCACAGATGGGGGTCCCGGGTTAACTTAAAACCACGTGCCACTGTCACTTTGGCTCCAGATTGTCTGATGACAGCCACCCCAAGCAGCCTCTGAGCCCGTTTCTAAGGAAACAGAGCCAGCACACAACCTGTGTCCCAGAGAGACAGGGTCAGTCTGCCTGCATCTCGCCCAGGGGCTGTTTGTTGACAGCCTGCATCGATGCATTTAACAAACCTTTTCCGAGCATCTGCCCTGTGACCCCGATAGCCCCTGGAAATGTCTGACTAGAGGACATGGTGACATCAACTTTGCCCTTAGTCACGGGTCCCACCATGATTGCTGTACACACAGGTGTACACCTGTACAGGTGTCACCAGGACCACTAAGGACCCTGCTGCAGGGCCTCAGCAGGGAGAAGCAGAAGGGTCGAAGCTGTCTTTCTGGAGAGGTGGACTCTTAGAGGTGGGGTTAGGGGTCGACCAGTGTGTGAGCCCTGGTCCCGCCACCTACTGGCTTCATGACATCGAGTGGGTGATGGGACCTCCTTCCACCCTAACTGTGTCATGTGGACGTAGCAGGTGCTCTGGCTGCCTGCCTCACCAGATGGTTTAAGGCTTCATGGAGGTGGTGACTGCAGACTTCTCATCACAGTGCCTGGAACATAGCTCGTTGTCCAGAACGGACAACTGTTGCCACCACGGTCACCGTCAGCCAGGCTGAGTTCAACTAGGGACTAATGAAGTCGGGCTGCAAAAAGTTCATGGGGAAAATGGAATGGATATATAATGGAATGTATCCACAAATTTTTTGAAGCCTGTGTGTGTGTGTGTGTGTGTGTGTGTGTGTGTGTGTGTGTGTAAAGAACTTTGACAATTGTTCTGACTAGTTTGTTGGTGGGCCCCCCAAAAAAGACATCAAGGGACAAGCAAAGCCAGTTAATTCAAAAACCAAAATGAGTTCTTCCAAAGGTCGCACGGAGCCATAGACCCCGGCAGAAAATGTATAGGCATTTTCTAGAGCAGCTCTTGATTATTTGATCGTGGTTATTTTTACATGAACCCGTTACTCAATACTTCAAACGTGGCTCAGTTTTCATTTCTAAGATGCTAGGAGTCAGCAGAGCAAATCCACATCAACAAAATCTCTTTGGGACCCTCTGGAGTTTTGAGGCCAAGGAGTTTTGAGACCAGGCAGTTGAGCGCCACTGCTGTAGAGAGCAGGAGCCCTGGTGGTGTAGTGGTTACGAGATGGGCTGCTAACCAGAAAGTCAGCAGTTTGAGACCACCAGCCTAAAATGAGGCTTCTACTCCTGTGAAAAGTTACCATCTCAGACACCACAGAGGCAGTTCTACCCTGTCCTGTAGGGTCGCTGTGAGTCCGCGGTGACTCAATGGTAGTGAGGTTGGCTTTGTATACTCCTAGACATAGATGGAAAAATAAATAATTGTAGAGAACAAGGTCGTAGACCTTCCTAGAACTGTTATCCAGCCGAGGGCCGGGCTACAATGACATTCTCTTGGAGGACGCGGGGTGAGAAGGCTCACTGTGGCCTCGGACGCCTTTGTGGGGGCTGTTTGTGGATTACCCGTGGAAGGTAGATTCCCCCTGGATCCCAGCCCCCTCCCATAAGTCACTTCTACCAACCCCCCAATCCATAGTCCCTTCCTTTAGGCACAGCCAGCACATAACCCAGGTGGCCAGTCTACTGCTGCAGAGGCACACAAATCAGGTGCGTGCCACAGCCGGAGAGCAGTGATGGTTAGGCTGCGCGAGTCTCACGCCCCAGTTGACAGAGCTGAGCTTGGCCAGCATCGTATGCCGTCTCGGCTTCAGCCGCATCATGAGGACATAGGGTGGCCTCTGACCCTGGGGAATGCTCGTCACCTGAGAAACTATGTCGAGTGATGAAGACAAAGGCTCCAGAGCGTAGGAAGCTACCGGCTGTAACGCGGATCACCAGAGCATTTGGCTCTGACTCTGAAACCCAGGGGGTTGGAAAGGTGTTGGGGACGAGCCTTGTGTGGGGAGGTGATCTCTGGTCGCCTCTCGTGACTTCCGGAAGGTCCCTGTGAGGGGAAGTGTGTCACCATGGCTTCTGAACAGACGGACGCTCTTTCACCAGATCCCCGTGGACGAATGGGCGACCGGGTTCCTTTCATCCGCCTTTGAGGACGGCAGAGCCATCCTAGGCAGAGACTATTCCAGGGCCCGGGGCCTTTCCTAGGAACGCCCCGCTGCTCAGAGGTCGTGTGTGAGCCTTAGCAATAGACGGCCGCTGATAGACGCAGTCAAGGTGTGCTTCCACTAGTTAGTGAGCCATGCCCGAGAATACAGTTCAAAGGGGCGGCTACTCGCCTCGCTGCGTCCCAGCTGCACTTATGACATGTGCGGTAGCTGGGTTTGTAGCTGGGAAGTAGCGGGTGGCCAGAGCCAGATAGGACCCCCCACCCCCCAAGCTACCGGCTAGGTGTAGGCTCGCCCTGGCAGCAGGGCAGGGTGCTTCATTAAGTTCTCCAGGTTGTAGTTGTTTGTCGATTCTTTGCCACTGTGCCGGGCGGCCTCACAAGCCACACCTGCCTGCCTCCCAGCACACACTGGGTGGGCCCGAGCCCCTGCAGGGGCCTTCAGCATAGAGGGTGTTCCGTGGTTGTCTGAAACATTAGCCCAAGCAGGAGGCCGAGACCAAGTCTCCAGGCACTAGCACCTGTCCACACCTTCTGGACAGTGAGCCTGGAGACGCCGTAGGGGCCGGTGCGTGCTCCTTTCCTCCACCTGTGTGTGTGCACGGGGCGGGTCTCGTCGGCGGGCCAGTTCGTCCCCCCTGTCACTCCTGACACCATCTCCTTGGATCCCCTTTTAGGCTCTCTCCACGCCACCTCCGTGGCGGCCTCTAGAGTGGAGCAGGCGCTGTCCGAGGTGGCCTCGTCCCTGCAGAGCAGCGCCCCCAAGCAGGGCCCACTGCACCCCTGGATGACGCTGGCGCAGATCTGGCTCCACGCAGGTACCACTCGACCACCCCCACCCCAGCCCTCTGTCCCTCCCGACAGCTTCCCAGCCCGAGGCTACAGGGTCCCCTGGGAGCCCCCACCCCAGAATGGGACCACTGCTTCTCAGGAACCTGAGACGCATCTTCTCTGCCCATCCCCCGTCCCCTGAGCCCGAGTGTGGCCCTGAGCAGGTCTGCAGGGTCAGGTTCTGAGGACCTCCAGGAAAAGTGCATGCTGGGTGGGGTGCGGGAGCAAGCCAGCATACCCTGGCACCCCAACTCACATAGAGCCCTGTCCCGACTCTTTCCCTGCCAGCCAGCCATGTAGACTTGAGCAGGTTGTTTCCATCTCCCGGCCTCAGTTTCCTCATCTGTGCGGTGGCGGGGTTATGGACCACATCTGTCTCATCCCCCCATGGCGCCTGGCACCCTTCTGACAGTGGAGACAGCTGTGGGTGGCACCTTGTCAAAGCAAGGAAGGAAGCGGTCAGCCTGCTTGGTGTCCATTCCCCTCCAAGGGCCCCTGGTGCAGACGAGCTGGACAAGCAGGTCCAGTCACCCTTTCCCCGCCTCGCCTGGGGTCCCTGGCTCAGCCCTGCCTCGGCACCGCTCACTCCCTGCCACTGAGTCGATGCTGACTCACAGCAACCCCGAAGGGCAGGGTGGAACGGCCTCGGAGTTTCCAGAACTTTCCTGGAGTAGAAAGCCCCGTCCTTCTCCCTCGATTGGCCGGTGGTTTTGAACCTCTCACCTTGAAGATTGCAGCCCAGCTTGTAGCCATTGGGCTCCCTTAGGAAACCCTAACACAGAGCCCACATGAGGCATGCTTCCCTGAGAACCCCAGCACAGGGGGCCCCACAACGGATGGCTCTGGGTTTACGGCATATGTATACTGTTGCTTCAAAGGTACCTCCTTACGGAGCTGGGGGTTGGGACTTAAAGCTCAAGGCCAGCCGTTCAAAACCACCAGCTGCTCCATGGGGGGAAGATGAGGTTTTCTGTTCCCAGAAAGGTTTAGGGTCTCGAAAACCCACAGGGGCAGTTCTACCCTGTCCTATAGGGTCGCTGTGGGTCTGAATCCACTCGATGGCCGTGAGTTGAGTCCCCACGTTTTCCCTGCAAGACACCCCTCCCCTGGGACCTCCGAGGCAGACCCCTCCTCACGCAGTGGCAAAAGCTCACATTTGGCTGGGCCACATGCTTCTTCTCCCCCAGTTGTCTCTCTATGTGGACGCTTTCTGTGCCAAGACTAACGGTATGATGTCCAGCCTCGTCCGACACCAGGGGCAGACCTCCATGTGTGAAGACGTGATTGTAGTCACCTGGGTTTGGCACATCTTGGGGCGAAGCCCAGCCAACAGCCTTTTCTGTGTTGGCATCTTTAATTGAGCCATAGCAACGACCGTAAATTAGCAAATTAGATTCTCCCGAGCAAAAGTACCAATGGGGGATGATTCATGAATGTGCCCATTGTTCTGTGCCCAGCACGGCAGACGCCTGCCAGCCCTCGGTTGCTTGCTGGGTCCCAGCACGCTGACTCTGGGGCATGGGCAGCTGGAGTCAGGCCCGCCTCCTTGGCACTAGGGACAGCCCAGGTGCAACCTGGCATCCTGGGACCCGTCTTTCTCGGTCACCTTCGTGAGCAGCAAGGGAGGGGGTCGGGGGTTGTGCCTGGCCGGGTGTGCCCGCCTGAATCTAGGGTCTGGCATCGAGGAAGACCATGAGAGGACCAATGCCCGAGAGTCCCGGAGGACCCTTCTTGGCAGCAGCGCTCTCGCTCGACCCGGTAGGCACTGCTTCCCTGGCATATTTCTTGGGAAAGTTGCTGAGCTGAGTGAAAGGCATGATGTTCTGGGAGAGCTTTGCTCCGTGTCTGCTGCCCTCGACTCGACTCTCTTGGTCCTTACCACCCTTCTCAGGGCGTGCCGTGTCTGTTGGAGAGGAAGCGTGGTTGCTGCTTCCTGGAACCCTGAAGCACTTAGCTGGATCCACTTGGGGGCAAGGCTTGCATTTTTTAAAAATCATTTTATTGGGGGCTCGTACAACTCTTATCGCAATCCATACATCCATCCATGGTGTCAAGCACATTTGTACATTTGTTGCCCTCATCATTCTCAAAACATTTGCT